GTGTGCAGTGTTTTCAGGATCAGCACTGTATACGCAGCAGATCATGTATAAAATATACTCAAATTGGATGACAAAATCCTGTTTGGTAGAAATGTAGAGCTGTCATCGCTGTTAAGAAGTCATTTTGGACTGAATTGTGTGTAGGACCTTCCTGCAGTGGAAAATCTGACCATCAGCCTTCCTGAAGGCACCGACATGGAGCCAGTTGGAATCATCTCAAGCGTCGTGGATCAACTCGGTATTTTTACAGCGATCCAAATCTATGAATCACATTTTAGAGATAAAACTGATCCTACAGTTGCCATGGTTACAGTGTGACCTGGCTCACTCGCTCCATGAGTGATCATAGGAAACATTATGAACGAGGAAGTTACTTCCAGATCTCATAATCTCATATTTGTCTCATTTTCTAGTTATTGTTGAGTCTAAAAAGGACACTCCACCCCTGAACGACGACAGCATCTTATTCAACAAGGACAGGATGTCTATCGGCAGGGTACGTTCTCTACTCAAAAATTTTATATGCTTTTAGGACTTTTTTCCTGAATGACATGACCAGCTGTGAGGTTAAAAAAACCAACCTTTCCTTTGTCCGATCGCTGAGCGTCGAGCGACTGATCAAACAGAATCTTTTGATCTGTTTTTTTTTTTTTCTCCTAGGTGTTTGAAGTCTTTGGTCCGGTGTGCCAGCCGTATTACATCCTGAGATTCAACTCTCAGGAGGAAATAGAACAGAGGGATCTCAAAATAAGGGAGCCGGTTTACTTCGCCCCCAAAATCAAAGACTTCACCGAATACATCTTTGTAGAACAGATCAAGCAGTGAGTAACGCATTTTAGAGATCATGTTGCCTGTTTATGAATTTTAGCCTTATAGAGGTTTTTATTCCTTTTTAGTTTTTCCATTTGTTTGATGATCTGATTTTTTATGACTGCAGAACTAAAGGATCTGACGCTTCTTGGAAAAATGACCAGGAGCCTCCACCAGAGGTAAATGTGATGCTTTTGTACGCTCATTAGTCACTACTGAAGTGACAGTGATTGGCTGTGGAAGGGCAATATCAAGGTCTTCTAGTTCCAAACACACCTGATACCTGTAGGAGCAGGCGGGATTAAGTACATGGGATTGGGATTAAAAAAACAGTCCTGCACCTCTAGTTGGGACTGGAAGTTAATAAACGTTGAAACTAAGGATACATTGATATTTGTTTTCAGATTAAGTATGAGTACACATACTTAGTATTAATCACTCCACCATCTTGGGTCATTTTATTTAGCTCTATTTATGTTGGTTGCTGCTGTGTGAGTATGCCATGTGCACTTGAGTTTTATGTTTTAGCTGTTCTAGAGATTAATTAATATCATTAATAGAGAGCCTGAAGGTGGCCGACCTGAGTGTGCAGAGCAGTATGAATGAACATGGTCAAGAAAAAGCAAAGTGTAGAAAAGAAATGCGCATGTCTTAGTACTCAGTGCTCGCAGAACTGAAGTGCTCTCATGTGCGACAGTTTCTCTGCACACTCGCTTCACTGCTCCATGCTCAGGAACACCTTTGTATCCACGGGTGTTGGTCTCATTTTTTTAAATGAACATGCTCACTGATACTCCAGTGTGCTCTCAGATCAATCACTCTATATTAAAGATACGGTTTGAACGATCTAAGATGTTTTATCAGGTTACTTATGTTGTAAGAAGCTGTAGAAGCTCTTCTTGATATTTATACGACACACAGTATGCAGTCTGCTTTGTGCTGATTGCCGTCATTAATCGTGAAGTATGTGCAGATCTCTGTCATTTCATGTCGTCCGTTTATACATGACAATGTACACTACTTTTATGTCACTTAGCATATGGGACGTTGGTATAGGAGCATTTTTTTTCTTTACGAGTGTGAGTAAATGAGCACCGTATCAGACTGGTACCTGCTACCAGTATCAGATTAGATACATCTCCATGGTGACTGGGTTAGTGCTACCTGAACAGAAATGGACATAATTCGTATAATTTAGCTCTTAATCTTATTCCTCATGCAAATGTAAATAATTAGGTCTGGAAAGCCGAGAATTAGTCCAGAATGCTAAGTAGTGTTTAGTGAATTTCCGTCTCTGGTTCTTAGAGAAGCTGTTGGACTGTGGCTGTGTGTGTGTTTGTGCAGGCCCTGGATTTCAGTGACGATGAGCAGGAGAGAATGGCCAAGCAGAAACTGAAGGCCCAGAGGAGACCACAGCAGCAGAAACAAGAAGAGTCAGACTCGGGTGAGCCACTGCTTATTACCTGACACCTCTAATAAACCCTGCTCTGTACCTCACTATTAGATGACAGAATATAACCGTTTCTTCACAATAGCGTCTAGTTTCTGGAACATTCTCTCACACACTATTCTCTTAGCAGACAGTGAATCCTCTGCCAGTAGACCTCCACCTCCCCCAAGGAGAAAACCCCGGCAGAACAGGAACTCGCCGCGCGGCCGGCCTGCGCATCACGAGCATCATGGTGGCTTCCACGCCAACTATCACGCCAATCCTCACTTTCAACAGGACTTCATGCACCACCCTCCTGACCCATACAGACCTCCGTTCCGAGGTCGTGGGTACCCTCCCTACCCCCGAGCCCCACCTCCTCACATGGGCATGGACCCCTGGCACCCCTGCCCATACCCAGGACCCATGTTCTACCCTCCACCACCTCCTCCACCCCCTCCATCAAACTAACAGAACAGAACTCTCTCAGAGCTGGAGTGACTGAGAGGTGATGTGGAAATGAAGAGGTTTTTACTGAAACTTCATTAAAGTGTCACTGTGGATGTGGATAGGAGAAATTAATGGAACGTTTAAGATGTTTTTTTTGTAATTCTTTTGGGTGTGTTTCAGCGTACACAGTCTTCAGAAATAACGGTACCAGTCTGTACTTTTCCTTGTCGCTATGCCTGTAACCGAATACTACTATGTTATTTGGAATGAACAGATAATTTGTTGTAAATGGATACAGAATAGGAGGCATGCTTTTTTTTTTTTTTTTTTTTTTTTTTTTTTTTTTTTTTTAATAAAATAATGAGGCCTCATTACAAGTAGTTTATTTTTTACATGTTTACACAGCATCAAACTCTCTTTAAGAAATACTCCAGTGTTTTACAAATTAATCTCTGCCATAATATGTAGTGTATATCTGATTACCATGGACAAGAATTGAGACAATAAAAAATCTGTTAAAATTTCACACGGAAGTCTAAAAACAGTCGCTAAATTCTGTCAGTAAACATTTAAAATGTACGGCTATATAACACAAATGCAAAACTACACCATTTACCGTACAGTAAATTTTACAAAACTACATATTCACAGAAGTACATATTTGAGGAAAAGACAGACATAAGAGAAACTCTTACCAAAGCTGTTATGTCATTTAATTTAACTTTATTTATCCAACACTGAAACTACACAGTAAAAAGTAATTCTGGTTGCCTTCACATTCCATGAAGTTTATTTGTGTGCAGACAAACACCAGATATGTTGGTAAAACACAGCCAAAATCTCTTAAAGGGAGAATCATATGGATTTGGAGCTTAAATTTCACAAGATTACATGTTGGACATAAATGTTTATTGGTAGAATTCAATCACTGCCCTTAGATTTCCATGATAATTGAGTTTGACTTGAACAGGTTTTTTTTTTTTAATGAATTATCCATTATAGTCACACATACTACACCTGTGTTGAGAGAGTTTAATTAATTTAAGGTCTTGTCTAAGGGTTTTTGGTTGTATAACTGGCTCTATTTCAAACACTTTTCAAGCAATTTCAAGTGATCTCACCTTCATGCTTTTGCAGAATACACATTTCTAGTGTTCTCAAACAAGTGCTGGAAGCTACAAGACTCAGTTATTTAAAAAAAGATTCTTTTGCAATATTTAATTGTAACAGTGTTGTCAGTACATGGCTCTGAAACAGAAGCCTGAGGGCATATAAGATTTTTATTTAGGCTCATGCTGATATCATGGTAGTCAGTCAGTACTGTAAAACATTTCAGCAGAAATTGGCAGCTTTCCAGCTCACTCATCACTTTCTGCTTTGGTCTGCTCACTGAGAAAGAAAGAGAGTCCAAATTCCACCTTCCTACTGCACTACAGTACTTCTGCATAGTGTTTCTTACAAAGACAAGTCAGTGCCATGATGTTTAATATGGGCCTGAAGTATCGGATCCTCTACCGAGAGGTTGTCTGTATTGGAATGATGGATCTGGTATCAGCCAACACTCACAGCTCTGATCTCATTTTTTCTAGTGTTGGTCATTGTTGTTCCAGCTGTGAACGTATATCAGGGTCACAGGGACATTTGAGTTTCCATTAGATTGGTCATGTGCAGCTGGGTCTTGGCAGCAGATTTACTCCTTCCCGTGGAATTTGGGCCGTCTGAATGGAAAGTGTGGGTCTTGTTTGTGACGAGAGCTGTTTGAAACAGGAAGGAGCTTAGTGCTGTTTATCTCACGACAGCATATTGACATTTTACTTGGGCTTCCTCTTAAACACCATGATGAATGTGTGTGTATGTTTGTGAAAGTAATTTTAAATGAGGTTATTGTTTCGTTGCGATAGCAACAATGTACACAGGGACTTGTATATTGGTTGCTCCACATAAATACATTTTAAAAAGTGTGCAATTGTTGCTGTGGTGGAATTTTTCTGTAAAGAGTGGTCTATTTAGCATTTATGGAAGGAGTCTCCAGTGTCAGCACTGGAGAGGTACAGCTGTTCCTTTAGGTTTTCAGACACAGGAAGGTCTTCAGGAAGTAGGTTACAACACGGAACCTTGAACAAGACCACTCCAAATCCATCCATCCATTCTCTGTACCGCTTATCCTATGGAGGGTTGCAGGGGATCCTGGAGCAACCCATCACAGACAATTGCACACACACACACACGCACACAAGAGCCAGTCAGCCGACAATGCATGTCAGGGGAGGAAACCCCGAAGCACAGGGAGATCATGCAAACTCCGTGCACACAGAACAGAGGCGGGATTCGAACGCCCAACCCCAGAGGTGCGAGATGACAGCGCTAACCACTAAACCACTGTGGCCCCGCCCCCCCCTCCAAATTGTAATATACAAAAGGTATTTTGCAACAGTAATCATCAGATTTGAGACCTACTGGAAACCTGTGGTCTGAACTGGAGAGTCCACATGCAAACAACTAAGAATATAAAGGAGCCTGAAATATTGTGCGTGGAGAAGTGGACCAAAATCCCTCTATAAGCATCTCCAACCTTGTGTGACATTACAGCAACATGCTCATTACACTAATCTCTCTAGGGGAAGATTAACTGAATATTAATTGCCAGTATGTTTGAAATTAGTTTTTTTTTAAAAAAACCCAAAAAAACAATGCACTACTTAATTTATGCTTGAATGAAAATATTATATTGAAATAAAACAATAAATTGTCTCCATCTCTTGAAGCTCAAAATATCACTCACGCATGTGTTATTTATTTGTTCATTTCTGCTTGTTTCTATTTCTAAGGGTGCCAATAATTCTGAAGCTTGTTATCTTCTATTCTGAGTTGATTTTTTATGCTGATCTCAGTGACCTTAATAGAGAGAGAGAGAGAGAGAGAGAGAGAGAGAGAGAGAGATGGATGTTTGGATGAAGAAGGGCAGCAGAAAGAGAAAGCATCCAGCTAAAATAGTTACAAGTGACGAGAGGAGAAGAGCAGGGAGAGAAAGGGGGAGCAAAAGAGCTGAAGGGACGGAGCGACTGTGAGAGAGAGGGAGAGAGAGAGAGAGAGAGAGGAGGAGACTGGGGAAGCGACAGAGAGAGGTAATGAGCACCGAGCTGCAGGAGTATTAGCTGTCAGGCTCCTGAGCTGCAGATCTCATTAAAGGTGAGTATGAGAAAGCTATTTGTGTGTGTGTGTGCGTGTGTGTGTGTTGCTGCCAAGCAGTCGATGATGCAGTACATTGTTTTGGCTTTGTTTTGTCAGAGAGACGGGATGAAGAGAGGTAGGTGGACGCACAGAAAGGCTTAGAGTAGAATGAAATAAATCATAATTGTTTTTTTTTTAATACTTCCATCTCAGACATGAAGATATATGATCTAACTCTGTGTGTGTGTCTGTGGTTGTGTTTTTCTCTCAGAATGAATCGACCATTGAGGCACAGTGTGTGTGGAGCCTAAGGTTCCCTCCGAGGCATTTTGTGTGTGTGTGTGTGTGTGTGTGTGTGTCTTTCACAGTCCTGTGGCTCTGCTCCTGCTGCGTCGGATCCTTCACGTGTGTAGACGTTCCTGATCCCCCTCCATCCCCCCTCACGTTGCTACGACAACCATGGACTGCGGACTGCGTCTGCCTCCTGTCATCGAGGAGGTCATGGACGCTGCAGGTGCGTGCGTATGTGTGTGTGTGTGTGTGTGTGAATTTGTAGTGTGTGTTTACAGGTGCATATTGTTTTGTCTAGGGCAGGGAGACGATACTAATAATACTTCTGTTGTTGTGTCTCTGTCTCTCTCTTTTTTTTGCTCATGTTTAGTTGGTGAGCATGAGAATCATGGATTGAATTCAGAGGAGTGAATCTGTGTGAAAGTTTTCTGTGGTGTGGTGATAAATCGTGGCATTGGTGACGTGATGCGATCCCAAAAAAAATGAATGCATGCCATCATTAAGCAGTTAAGCTAGTAAAGAAGAGGAAGACATGGTAGGAGACGAACACACAAGAGACAGATAAAAAGCCAGAGAGTCAGCAGGAGAGAGCCAGACGGCCAGTCAGTCTGTAGTGACACGTTTCTTGCTTATGACTCAAAGCAGATGGCTGGGCATGCTGAGTGTGAACTGCACCCGGCAATATAAAAGAAAACATTGGTCATAATAAGCAATAAGTGTCCATTTCAGCATCACTGTAGTAATCAGCAGTGTGGAAGACATTATCAGTTAGTCTGCACACAATATGTATGAATATGTGTTGTTGCTTCTGCTGTGTGTCTCACTGGACTGATCAAGTTCTGTCTTAAAAGTTTGCACATGAATATCGCTTTAAACATAACTACAATTTTAAAGGGAAACTCCACCCTCAAACACATTAAATATTTTTATGAAATATCAAATATTTGTGATGCGTTTAGGTGCTAATTTGTTGTTAGCTGGTGTTGTATTTTCATTATTCATGTGAGAAATTAGCGGTTGTGTGCCACAGTGACATCACAGTGGGACATTGCTGTCACAGTTACAATGGTGTTTAATAGGGAATCAAATTTAAATGATCTCAAACATCTCAAAAGAGACGCTGGTCAGGTCTTCTTTTGTCACTCACCATTTTAAACAACGTTCACCTTCTTACTAATGAGCGTAGAAGTAGTGGAGATAAAAACGTTGGACTCAAAGGTCCAGAATGCAATGCAGCTATACGGCACACTTGCGCTCAGTTATAGCAGGTAATCGGTTTAGCTAGTTAGCGATCTGTGAGATGATGTTCATGGCAGCATTAGCATGAAAATTAAAGTCTTGGAAGCTGATCTGTTTGAGCAGAGTGTACAGATGAGGAGGAGAGCTGGACAGACTAAAGGACTAAAGCACCGCTGCATTGCTTTCTTTATACAGAGATGAAGCGAGGACTAAATCCCACTGACACTAGCAGGTACTCAAATGGCATTGTGGGTAATATAGGAAACTGAAGCGAAACCAAAATAAAACTATACCAACATGTTGATGAAAGAAGTTTAAACTAAAAATTCACCCAAGAATTTCATTACAGAATAAATCTCGGATGCAACATGTTATTTATAAAGATTGATATGCGAGTTGTTCTGGGTGGATTTTTCCTTTAATAGTGTCCATTTGGGTCATAGACACTGGGTTACATCTGTAATAATTGGTTGCAGGGGTGCTGTAAAGTGGGGTGAGGGGTGGTAATGACTTTTATGGTCTTAGACAGCTAGACAGCTAGAATATTATTATACACTGTGAGGAGCACAGTGCATTAACCTGTCAGGGGGCCAAGCATTTTGGTTGCATTATGTATGTTTACAATAAGGGGAAACGTTAAAAAAGACACTAAGACAAATTAGCCTAACTAACTTGCTAACTGTCTAAAATAATAAAGTGCCCTTGAAAACAAAAACCTTTGTAATTATGCCCTCATATCCGAGAAACAGGAACATCTGAGGAGCTGATAAGGCAACACAAGATCAGCACAGCAGTGGCTGATTTGTTTTTACAGCGACCTTTTGGAAATATAGTGCATGTGTGGTCATTTCCAATTTGCATATTTATAGAATCTGGATTTCTTGTTGAGGGAAAAGTGTAGGCGCTTCTAGTGTGTTTTTTAAAACCACTCAGTCAAGAAAGTTATTATTAAATCTAGGAATGTGCATGTTCTTCAGAGCAAGTTTTGGGTGACTTTGGGTGAACAGTCCCTCAGCTAAGCTAGTTTCTGCATACAGCAAGAGAGTGTTTCAGTATAAACTATGCTGAGGATACAAGGCAAAGCTCTTTCTTTTCTACAAATCCCACTGCAAGCTGATGCTCGACCCACGCTTTCTGCTCTGTCTCAACCCCATCTGATTTCCATTCTATCCAAATCCAACTGCACTGACATTACACAGGCATAACACTGTGATATACAGCATAACTGAGATTAATTGAGGAAGAGATGTAGATGGGAAATGTAGATAGGCTCAGAGAGGGTGAGAGGCTAAGGTAAAGAGGAACAGAAAACTCTATCATTGTCGAGAAAACAAAGTAACAAATGTACGCACAAATGAAATGGCACTGGACAAGGAAACAGTAATCAAACTATTGGAGCCGAAAGGTCTTAAGAACCTGCCTGATTTTCCTAATGCATGGTGTGGAAATAGTAACAATCATGGAGGATTTTACTGTGGTACTTCTGGTACTTTGAGAAGTCAAATCCTTCAGCATCTACACCCAGCACAGATATACTGTATATTGTTATAGACAATCAGATACAATAGGACTGATCCATTTTTATTGCTTTTAATTCAGTGTGTGTAGCTGTTTTTACATGAAGTTTCCTTAGCAAGTAGCTAACAAGTGTAGCTCCAATTTGTTGCCGTTAGCAGCAGAATGGTTTTCTCATCAAACCACTGATTCAAGGCTGACAAATTTGATTTCGCTATTAATTTATCTTGACAATCCTTTATACTGTTCTACATTTATTTTAATGGCAGCCATGAAGAGAACCATGAAGAGAGGTAGCCAAGCCTTAATAACTTAAAAACAGGTAGACTTATAAATAATTGCTCAAAAAAATGAGCTAAATATTTTGTACACATTTATTTTGTTTGCTAGTCTATCAGCTTACCTAAGGTTAGATCTTAAACTAGCTTCATCTATTGTTCTGACTAAAAATAGACCACCGTTGAATAATATAACTAGGTACATAGCTAAACTTAGTGGTTAGCAAGATAGTTTATAACAATTTAGCCTCATAAGCTAGCTACATAAGCTCTGGGGTTGTGTAATTTTAACACATGGAACAATATCTGCCACTTTTTAGCTAGCTGTGCCAAAATAGGCTAAGTTTCCTCAGAGGAAAGGTGTCTTACAGATTGGATGCCTTCTCATCATGTTTACAAGAAGATTCTATATGAACGACCTACTCATTTCATCGGCAATGAAATTTTCTGATACCCGCTGAGTTGTAACACAATGTTTATGTTTCCTACTATGGCAAAGCCCGTAGAAATTCGATTAATGCTAGGATGCTAAATGCAGTTGCAGTGTAGTTCTGAGTCTTTTCTTAATAATTTATGAATATATCTGAGGGAAATGTTGACATTCCTGATAGTTTTGTCTTTTTCCATTGCCTTTCTTCCTTTACATTGTTTGTATAAACAACTTAATGGCTCCATGCTAGCTAGTCTATCTTGAATATCATATTTCTCAGTTGTCTAGTAGCAGAGTACACTCCTGGGCAAAAAAAAAATATATATATATATATATATATATATATATATATATATATATATATATATATATATATATATATATATATATATATATATAAATAATAAAAATAAATAAATAAAATAAAATAAAAGGGCCAAGCCCAAAATGGCAAAAATATTAAGCTTTTA